CTGGCAACCCCAAAACAATAAACCATAATAAAACCCAAGCCATATTTTGTAGGTAAAAAGAAACACAGTATATAAATCTGATGTGGGGGTCACAGTGGTTCAGTGGTTAAAGATGCTGAGCTTGTCAGCTAGAAAGCTGACAGCTCATATTTGAGACCCAAGTGTCATGTAATTGGATGAGCTCCTGTTACTTGTCCCAGACCAGCCCACCTAGCAGTTAGAAAGCATGCAAATGCGAATACATAAATAAGTACCACTTTAGTGAAAAGATAAGAGTGTTCCATGCACCCTGCTGGTCACATGAAAGAATGCAGGCTAGAATTTGAGTCATTTGGAAGTTGACTCAGCCGTATTAAGTACAGCCTTGCTTAAGGTACATCAGTTCAATGTTAAGTCACATGGCAGAGGAATAGCTTGTTATGCTGAGGAGGATTAACCAAGTTAATCTTAACCCTAAAGACAAGGGGGGGAACTAAACTGAGCTTTTAACTATCTTGAATACTCTTGCCCTCTCCAGTGCATTGAAATGTTCAGTATTACTAGATTTATGCACATAAAAGCCATTCTGGATCATTTGAATGAAAATATTCACAATCCAAGATGTGATAAAAATGAAAAGCTGCTTTGTGTGATTAAATCACATGGTAAGAATGATTTAGCAGCAAAACTCTCAAAAACAACTTGGAACAAATGCCTTAAGCTTTGAAATAAAACAAAGGTAGCAACCTCCTTAATAAGGCCTTCATTGCAAAAATCACTAACATTTTCTAAATATTCCCAAAATACTGAGCAAGACCTATTTATTTCTATGATTTTATCATTCTAGCCAGAATATAGAATTGAAATTCAACTTACATATCCTTTTATTTTAATCAGCTCAAAAATCTATTGCTCTGAGATTACACTGAGTTACACTATGACAACATTGTATTGAATATTTTCACAGCAAACAGGAGCCCTTGAATAGGAAACAAAGATGGTGACTTTTTTGGGGGTGGGGGTGGGGATCAGATCTTCCTTTACAGATAATTCTGAAAGAAAAGCTATTCAGTAAGTCTTGTTTACAACTTAAACCAAAAAGGTTCAGGTTTTTTCCTGCAATGTTTCAATTATCTCATCTGATACAGGTGTGAGAAGTTTTTCAATCCAGCTGCTGCTAAAATGGATCTGAGATAAAAGAACAGTAGGTCTGGAGGATGTTTCCCCAAATTTTTCAGGTTATTTTTAGAGTGGAATAAGTTGATTTGAAATCCTAAACTGTTATTTTTGCACAGCGCATCCAGAAGTGGTAGTAGAATATTTTGGAGTGGGGTTAAGGGTTCTTTTCGTTTTAATATCATGCATTTTATTTAGTTTCATTTTTTTTTAAAAGGACTAGTTCCAAATCAATTTTTTTTATTCTTACCCACAAATATAACAGCCAATTAAGCATGTTTGTTTTTTCTTTGACTTTCAGTTCTACAGTATATGAGGTATCTTACAGTTTTTTGGTATAAAAGGGATGGAGATCCTTCCCAAACTGGGCAACCTAATGGTGTTTTTTTTTTTTTTTTTACAAAACTCATATTCTCCCAAAAGAATTAGCAGAAATTCAAAATCTGCTAGTGGTTTAGTGTTCAACAGTTTGAATAGATTAAGGAATAAATAATTTAGAAACATATTTTTAAACTAATAAACTTATTAAATTCCTTACGATAGTCCTAAATATTTTTCAATTATTTTATTACATGTATTTAAACATCATTAGTTGGACTGTGGAGGAGTACAATATTTCAAGAATTGCTGATTTGTATCTGTCCCTACATTAGAGCCATACATAAAAGCTGTGACTATAATATACTTATTTTGGGATGCTCCTAAGAAATCTTAAATGCAAAAAGCAAAGTCTGATTGGAAATTCCCCAACCTCAAACTACAAGAAAACTGCAATGTATTACCAAATCCTACATAACTGGTCCGACTGAGAAGCTATTTAGTCAACTTCTAGCAGAGCGAACTTATTTATGTATAACAAAGAAACCAAAGTGAGTTTCAAATCATGTGGTGTGCATTTAACATTTTCATTTAAATAAATTTTTATTAGTTTTCCAAATAGTAAATCATATATTTTCTAAATAATGTGTACTAAATTCACAAAATTTATTTATACTTTTTTATTTATACTTTGGACTGCAATTGACTTCTGTGGTCAAGTCTAAGAATATAAACACATAGTCAAACATAAGTAACTATTCACCTTCCTCTATTAAAGAGATTGCTAGTTTCTGTTTCACTATTGCTTCCCTTACTTCAAGGCAATAAACTAACAAAGCTTTTGCTCATTGTCTTTATAGGTATCTTTTCAAGGCCAACTAGGACATGCATTATGATTACTGGGCAGAGACATTTATTACTGATTTGTCTTGAAATCTCAACATATAATACCCCAAAGTACAATATTATTCTGAAGTCTAATATAAGAGATAGCCAAGAACAGAACACCTGATTAAAATAATGTTGGAATATGAATCTGTTGTATCCTCAAATTATCATCTGAACATACTCCAGCTGCATGGGAAAACAAAGTAGATAAATTGGGGAACAAAGCAAAGTAGCCTATAAACTTTTGTCCTAAGTCTGTGATTTTTTTAAAAGAACACTTTGTTTTATTATTGTCTATGTTTCACTGATTTCTGAGTTGCTTCATGTAAACAGGTACAACTGGAATAATAAGCTTTTAAACAAATGAATATATGTAATACAAAATTACACAGCCAGACAGGAAGAGTAGAGTCATAGTACTTGTGCTAATTTGGCTCCTTTGAATGCCCTAAAATCACTTTATACATTAGCTGTATTGAAGCTAAGCACATCTGGATCAGTGCAATGTTAAATACTGCTTTAAATACCATAATGGAATCAGATTGTTTAAATCAATCTTTGCCATTCCATATAATAAAATAAGTCACCTATAAACGCCATTCTCTTCATGACATGACTATACACCTAGTAGAGTAGGGTATTGCTTCTACATATTCCAAATTTTTAAAACAAAACTCCAGGTCACATTCTACAAGGGAAAGTTTTATTACACAAAGACTTATTAATTCAGATTCTGACAGCTGAATTGCCAGCTGAAAAGAATTCTGTAATCTCAACCAAATCAAAGGTGTCAAGCATACCATTACAGAGAACATATTGCTACGATTCTTATTGTGATGAGAGAATCAGTATCATTTTCTAAGATGTCTGAATCTCAGATGTAATAGATTAATTTTAATAGACCATATATTCATGGGTTTCTTTTGTGAATCGGCCTGGAGTTAATATTTTTTGTCTCTTCTCCCCCCATTCTAATATGATAGGTAGATATTCAACAAAACAGTTCCTATCATAACTGCATTTCTGTACAAGAGTAGATAGGAATAGGAAATACCCTAGCTAATTTCTGAATAGTCATGAAATTGTTAAATATGTAGGAGCTCCTTTCAGATGAATTATGATATAATATAGTAGAACATAATGGGAAATCTATTTTCGCATGTTATACAGTAGTAATAGAACTACACAAAAACTTTTTTTGTGAGAAACAGTGCCATCTTTGGAAGTGGGTGTTGTTACTTGTCTGAGAAAGAGATCAAACATTCAGACACTGGTTTATCAAAGAAACCCTGCAAATAACCCCTCTTATTATTGTGTGCAGGAAAGCCTGAATAAATTGATTATCTTTTCCTTCAATGAACCAATATAACTGGAGTACATTGACATACATTGGAAGCCTTCCTTTAGCTGCAGGGAGTATGTTACATATAGTAAAAGGAATGTGGACCTTATCAATGTCATGAACACTTGCTACTTGTGTGGCAGTTTGACCTAGTTCAGAAGAATATTACATTGCAAAGCAAGCAGTTTTGCCAATTATCAGAGGCTTTCACATTCTCTACAATTCAAAGTTAATGGAGTAGGTCATATAACCCACTGTGACATAAATTAATGATTCCTGCTAGATTAAAAAAAATATTTAACCAAATACATTTTAGCTTGAAATTTTGTATGCCTCAACCAATCCATAATTACTCTGAACTATTCCCCCCCCCACTAACTTCATTCTGTATATATTCAGCCTCAACTTGCTGAATTTCCTTTTTCTTAATATTCATATGCCTTTGAAGATATTTTTCTAGGACCTGTTTGAGGTTTTCATTGTAAGGAAATGGACAACTTCCTCTTCTTTTATAAACAATCCCATAGTCATCCTATGCACATTTCGTGTCATTACATCAACACAATCACTTGGTATCAGAGACTGCATGTTTCTGTCCTTACTAAAACAGAACCTTAATTTTCTAATACTTAGACATGGTTTGTTGTTTTCACACTGGATTGCCTTGAAACTGAGCCAGAGGAAGGAAATTCGTGATCTAAGCAGCTCTGGACACAAACCTCTCAGTAGCTCAGTAGCTCTAAAAGCATACAATAAGAGATGCAGGGAAACAGGTCTGTATAAGCAGACCTGGACGCAAACCTCTCAGTAGCTCTAAAAGCATACAATAAGAGATGCAGGGAAACAGGTCTGTATAAGACTCTGAGCAGCCATTGTCAAAGCATATAGAGCTGAACTGAGATGGCACCTTTTTTGCCTCTATAAAGAAAGAAAGCACCGGGAGCCATCCCTGGCCATAATAAATACCCTAATTTAGCCCAAATCGCCAAATATCTCAGCTAAACTAAGGTCCCATTACGATCTTGGGACACGCGTCAGGCCCGACAATTGCTGAGTTTTCCCAGTCATGCTGCTGTCGGCAACTGTGGTCGATGACCATTGGTGCTTCTTTGGGAACAGGCAAGGCAACCAACCATTCAGCATACAATATCTAGCCCACCCACCCAATCGAGTGCTACGCAAAGGAAAGTGGGCTAGGCCTCGCCCACGTTCCTCCTTTCCTCCCTCCCTTCTACAATAATACTACGGCAGCTCCATTCCGAGGAATTTTGCTCCATCAGACTCAGCGCCCGCTTGCCTTTGGTTGTAATTGTGCTCGTCATCGTTCTCACAATCACTGCAATGTTGATGATTATTCTCCTCGCCTGCTGTCCCCTTCACCGCTGTCTCACTGTCGTCCGCCATCTTGGTAAAGGGAAGCCTCGTCGACTGACGCGGTTGCGCAGTGCCCAAAGCCAAATCGCGATTGGACGCCCAACTGCAGTGTGCCGTGGGACTTGTAGGCAACAGTGCAATTAAGAAACCCCTTATTAAAGCAATAGAGGGCGTGGGATTAAAGTACCCATGAGTCTTTGCGGGAAAAAAGGTTCCCCAACACTAAGCTAGCTATCTCTTATCTCCTCCGGCTATCTTGCCAGCTAAATCACAAGCAAGATAGGAGCCTTACTTAATACTTACTTAACAATTATTTACTTAATTGTGCCCCCAAATTTTGAGCTGTTTACAGCAAGTAAAAATATTAAAAATTAATATTACAATAAAAAGTACTAACTAAAAAGGAAAATGATCAATGTAATATTAAACAATAAAAAGCACATCATAAAACTACTCAAATATCATTTAATTCCTAAATGCTGAAGAGAACAGAATCATCTTGATTGCTTTTCTAAAATTCAGCCAGATGGGGGGGTGATTGACCCTCTAGAGAGAAGTTTTCTTCCATATAATGGAGTTCTAATTTTGAAATAACCTCATTCTAGATATGGAACAGGTTTTTTTTTCCAGGGACAGATCTACCTAGATGATTTTGTCTACTTGTTAGGTACTCTGTTGTATTTATTTGACAGTTTAATTATTTCATTCGATTTTATCAAATTCTTTGAATTGTAGGTGACGTCCAACTATTACTCTCTTGTCCTCTATTTTAATCCTGAAACTGGTAGGTTTTTATCCAGTGCTTCAGAGCACTACAGAACCATCTTCTTGACCTCTGTGAGAAACAAAATGTTGGATTAAGATGGGTTTTGGTCTGGTCCAGGAGCATTATTATGTTCTTACTGATCAAAAAATTCAAAAGCCAAAATACTCAGCAGAACTGAAGACATATTTGAACTTGGTATTAATCTGCTTTAATATAATAAAGATATTTTCCTGTATTATTTTGGGATTTAGGCTTTAGTCCCATACTTTTCCTAGAAGGTGGTTCATTAAATCAGCAGGATTCAATGTAAAGTGGATGGCAGGTATGAGTTTCATACTGAGCATTATTGTAACAGCCACTTTTCAAGAAAACTGGCTGTGATGAAAATTATTCTTGACAATTGTACCCAATTTATTTAAAACTGTAGAAAAAGCATGCATTAGTTTCATCTTAGAAATTGCTTTTATACCTAGGTTCATTCCCAATATTCTTGTGAAAAAAAGGTGATTCTGATATTTTTGGGTACATGTACATAATTTTCAACTCCACAAAAATAATCTAGGTTTTATATAACATTCTCAGTTATTTGGTATTAAGGAATAGGTCAACTATGTGAATGAATAAAGTTCCTTGATCACGATTAAGCCTTGGACATCAGAATTGTGCAACAAAGTATGCACATAATAGTTTTTGTATGAATATTAATGGAAAATAGTGCAGTCTATAGCCTTTATTAACCTATTGTATATAAAATGCGCAAAATATGTTAAAGTGATGGATTACAATTTCTATAATTCCCAGTTCAGTTTGTGTTTATCAAAAAAAGATTGCACAAAGAAATTGTAACCAATGCATCTAGAAGATATAATTTGAGGAAACTAGTATAGGGAATTGTACATAATTATTTTTCCTGAATCAATCAGTCAAGGTTTGTTAAAATGAATACATATCTTTATATTGTTTATAAATCTGATTCATTCTAATAGTGCAATCTTAAACATGTATTCAGAAGGAAGGTTCACAATGGATTTATTTCTAGATACATGAACATTTTACCTCAACAGGTGGCACTAATTGACAAGCTAATCTTCTTTCTGAAGCTATAGGGTTGATTTTGTTTAACATTTAGATGGGAGACCTAGGAAGGCCAAACATTATCCTGGAAGTAGGAAATAGAAACTACTTCTGTATCATTGCAAGAACCTGCATAGATGGATAGTATCAGGAGCCAAACTTGACTCTAAAAAAAAATTTACATGTAGATGGGAACAATTGCCTATTCATTTTGTAGAAAAACTCTTAATTCTTAACTTTTTAAGTTACCTTAAATATGCCCCTTCTGAAATCACTTTTATGTTATATGTAATTTGGCAAATAAAAACAAAATATCAATTATGAATCTATAATTGTGACTTACAGCACATTGTATAACATCTTTGACCTATTTTTAATTCTGTGCTATATATCATCAGACTGACTGAAATTCTCCAAGGCTTTCAAAAGTTTTCCAAACCTCTCATCTATTTTTAAATCCAATATACGAATAAATTAATTATATTTTTGTAACTAGCTTTCTTCATAGAGCTTAGGGAATTATGCATGGTTGCCCTCGCAAATGTTATCATCTCAGTAGTCCCATAAGATTGGCTAGTCAAAAGTCACCATGAGTTTAATAGCAGGGATTTAAGCCATTGTCATTCCACTCAAAGTTAAAAATCAAACAATATTTTTAACTCATGAGAAAACCATTGGCTTTGCTTTTGTTTTTTAGTTTCAAGTCAATTGCCAAAGGCATCTTTTCCCCTGAATAGACTTTACAGTGTCAAAGAAGACGAATTTTGTACTGGACTCTTCTTCAGAACCATCCTAGCTGAAATCATTCAATTGGACCTGAAGGAAAACCTTTTCCAACAAGTCCTTTGAGATGCATTGACCATGCAGGTTAGGAATTCCGAAAATATTAGAAGACTGCTGGACAAATACTCTATCCCTATTTCCCCCCCTATAATTATTTCCAAGAATTGGCCAATCTAATTGGGAAGACTAGGAATATGTCAACGATTACTATTACACGAGGAATTGACTCAGTAGGAAATTCGTTTCTTAACATAACACAACACAATTTTGACTTTTGAAAGAATATATCAATCTCAGTATACCCCGCCGTTCTTCGTTTCTTTTCTTTTCTTGGCTTCACGCTGGAATAGTCAAGCTCAGTTTGGGTAGTAAGGATTGGATGGAATCCCCAGCGTGATTTTTTTCAGCCAATGAGGAATGAGAAAAGTGAAATGTACCCGAAGCCCAAGAAGTAATCCGTAGCAACCTTTCGAAATAGGGGAAGTGCTTGTAAGAATTCAGATCATCGAACGAGAACTGGAAGCCGTGACACAATATTCTTTCTTCTCTTGCATGGGAGAATAAGTTCCCCCCCCCCCCCTATTGCAGATACGGGTGAGGCATGGGCAGGTTTGTTGTGAGCATAGGCAGAGCCGCTTCTCTCCTTGAACAATCGTAGTATCAGTCCCTTAATTCTCCGTTTATATGAAAGGGATGACAGATTGGTGTAGTGATTTTAAACCCCAGCCCGCCCCTTCTTTTTGCAGAAATTAGGGTGCAAATGTACGAACTGTCATAGAATTACGTGTACCTTTGTACCTTTATTACATTTAAGGAAAGTTGCGCTGTTATGTAACTGAACAACGGCAGTAAATGGATCGGAATAAAAATACTGAAACCTGCACACATTTGTCTTGTAGGAGACAATATGAGAATAATTTGCATTACCTTCTTCCGGGTCATCTTTTCTATTTAATTCCCAGGAGAAAAATCAGATAGGTTCGATTAAGAGGTACCACCCTGTGGGTGGATGGGTTAGAAGTGATTTATTTAATAAATCCAAACCTTGAAACGAAAGATAATATTCATAGTAATACTTAAATTTGAAATATTAAGTTCCTGAAGTGGGGATCTTATTGACATATTTAGAGTAGTGCTTTCAGAAACTGTTTGGGGTACTCTAATTGAAAATTGTTTCATAACCTAGCTTGAAAGACTTCAAATTTACTTTTCATGCTTAATAGATGCAATAATGATTTGGAAACAATAATATTTGCAATTCTTATTGGTATTGAAGAAGACAAATGGGCATTTGTCCCTGATCTGATTTAGAAATTCCAAAACAAATTGTTTGCTTTTCTGTGGGAGGGGGAAAGGAGGGGGAAAGCAACTAGCAATGTTATTTTTTGTGGGGGCGGGGTTAAATGAATGTAATTTCTATTACAAGGCAGTTAACAGCTTGGAGAATAGACTATCTTTCTAAATTGTGAATGCCTCATTTGATTATAGATGGGTGGCATCCCATTGCTTCTGTGGTGTGTGAAACTTGACAAAAGAAAAAATATTTTCTTTTGAATGCAAATTAATAAAGTTTACAAGCAGTGGACTATGTAGTTCAAAAAAGAAAAAAAAGAAGAGAGATAGGAATTTTGAGATACTTATCATGAGACATTTCTTTGGATGCCAAAGTAATTTTAAGGGACAAGGAGGCCCCTAAAGAAGATAAGTGAATGAAACTATATTTCATGCATGGATTTAAAAGTTCCAAAGCAGTTTGGGGGCAACGGTTTATAGTTATTTTTAATAGCTGAAATTAAGGCCTATAAAAGTGCTTTTTGTGCTGGGTGTGCATTTAAATATAAGACAGAAGAGTAATTGCCAAGTTAGGTAAGAATGACAATGAATATACAGTATCTCTAAACTCATATTTGATTTCATTTTTAAAAAATGTATGTCAGGTTTAGTATTTTATTTCTTTTTCAGGACAAAATGTTTTTGGTGGGATTGACAGGTGGCATTGCATCAGGAAAAAGTACAGTAGTAGCTCTGTTGCAGGAACTGGGTTGTGCTGTTATTGATGCTGATGTTATAGCTCGGCAAGGTGAGTTTCCTATAAAGTTATTTGTTTGCAGATGAGTGTGATTTGCCAGAGAACCACTATGTAGAAATTCTATAGAATTCCAAATGGAGACATTATTGGGAATGATTTCATACTTTTTGCTTTTAAATATGACATTTCATATGTCTTGAAACTAATGTACACATCACATTTCTCTCTTCTAACAGCGTCTGGTATTCATAAATTCTGTGGAGCTAGTGGTTATACTTTTGCCTTTGTACTAAATTCCATCTGAAGATTTTCTAACCATGTATGTGGCTATATGTCCCTCCCTCTCTTTCTCTATACCTATATTCCTCTTTCTCTTCCACCCACCCACCCACATGGTACTGATGAGAAGGGAAATTTATGATGGAAAACTGTTTGTAGAGGTGAAGGGCTATTAAAATCCTTTCTCCCTTATAAGATTCTTACCAGTTAAATCCCATCGCTAGACATACCATTGTCTGAGAAAGAAAATCATGCTGGGTCACCTTTTTAACTCCTTACTTAGTATAAAGATTAGCCTTCAAAATCCTTTCTTTGAGGGTTGGGAGTAGATAAGGGAATTTATTTTATGTGACTTCATTGGACCACAGTTGAGTCATCTGCAAAAAAAAAACCAAAAACAACTATCTGGCTTTATTCTCCATGTTTATTTTGCCATTTACATGTGCTTCTCGCAAAGTAGAATATATGACTGGTTTATGACAGTATTTTTAATCATTTGAGACACCTAATATAAGAAAGAGAAATGCTACATACCATTAGTCTTAACTGTAGAATTCATTGCCACAAGATATTATGATATGTTTTGGCATTAGAGCCTTTTTGAAAGGTACATTTCAGATGGTGCCTTGAAAGCAAGAAATGCATTTCTGACCACTCAATTCCAAACCGTTGATGATAAGATGAATGCAGCCTTATTGCCTTGCATAAATACAGTGTTTCTGCAAAGAAAAAAAAGTCATCTAGATGTATGCTTGTCCTGTCCCATCAGACTAATTTATGTACTTTTAATTTGGGTCTGTGATCTGTGAATAGTTGCTGGAGGTGCAGAAGGACTTATGCAACATTTGGAAGAGAAGTTTGAGCACAAAGTCTCATTCAGGAGATAAGCGACTAAAAATTGGATTAATAAGTAAAGGTTTTTTTTTCCCTTGCCTCTCTTCTTGCCAGCTGAAAGTCTTTGGAAAATATGTGGACCAACTGAATACTGACTCTTTAAGGAATATTTAATCACTCTTCCTGCTATAATGTTTTCTTTCCCTAGTGGTCCAGCCATACTTCCAGGCATATCGGCGTATTGTGCATTCCTTCGGTCCAGAAATTCTTTTGGAGAGTGGTGAGATCAACCGTGAAGCTTTAGGAAATATAATTTTTTCCCAACCAGAAAAACGTCAACTGCTAAACTCCATCACTCATCCTGAGATCCAGAAGAAGATGTTAAAAGAGATCTTGAAATACTTTGTCTTGGGTAAGCAGCTGGAGAGTTGATATTATTTTGTAGAATCCTTGGGGCACCCCTCCTGCTGACAAAAATGATAATATCTCTGTTGACTATGTGTCCATTTTATTATTCTATGACAAGGGAAGAAAGGGCTGAAAAGGCAACTTTGCTGGCTCCCTTTGGGACATATTGTTTGCAATCACCCTTTTACTGCTTACATCTTGAGGATTCTCTGTTCTTTATATTTTCCCTTTGCATTTTTAGTCCCTTAATGTGATTTTAAAGAGCATACACAAAAGAATCTTTAGGCAGCATTGTGCATATAATGTCATGCTTCCTGAAATGCTCAGACATTTATCTAGTACCCCAATTCTCCTGATGCTCTTCTAAAAGCACTCTTTGAATTTGATAAAATAATGGCTTGACAGTTGGGATTTCTGCGATGTCTTTATATTTTTTCATTTACTTTGCGATAACAGTGACAACTATAGCCATCAAACTAGTCTAATCCAGTTGGGTCCAAATCACTCTACAGAGAATGCTATTTCTTCTGTTCTCCATTTGAGCTTGGCGCACTTAGAGGAAAAAATAGAAATATGTATATGTGAATGCTGTTGGTCAAGTTCAGTTAGGCATTTAATACAATCATTCCTCAGTATCTAGTAGACCAGTGTTTTTCAACCACTGTGCCGCGGCACACTAGTGTGCCGTGACATAGTGTAAGGTGTGCCGTGGGAAAAACACTTTATATATAGTCAATATAGGCACAGAGTTAATTTTTTTAAACATTTTCTAATGGTGGTATGCCTCGTGATTTTTTTCATGAAAAAAGTGTGCCTTTGCACAAAAAAGGTTGAAAAACACTGTAGTAGACAAACTGGGCTTCTAAGGCTTTAATACTCCTTTGTGCAACTAGATTCTTGATAGGCCCAGTATGTGCGAGTTGGGACTAATATTTCTAACACCACTTTCCTGAGCACAGGTTCTCCTCAGGGCTGTGTCCTAAGTCTGTTTTTGTTCACCCTGTTGACCCATGACTGTTGTTCAACATTTGCCACCAACCATATTGTGAAGTATGCAGATGGGCCTTATTCAGGATGACTATGAGGGTGCTTACTGCAAGGAGGTAGAGGGTTTGGTGAATTGGTGTAATAAAAACAGCCTTGTCTTAAACATAAAGGCAGGCACAGCCACAAACTGTGTATTAATGATTCACCTGTGGAGGTGGTTAGCAGCATGAAGTTTCTGAGTGTGCAGCTAACGAGTAGGCTACCTTGGTTGCTCAACAGTGAGACACTGGTGAAACAGACACAGCAGTGCCTGAATTTTCTATGTCACATGAGAAAAGTACATGTTCCTTCCCCTGTCCTTACCACTTTCTATAGAGGGATGATCAAGACCATCCTGTTATATTGCATTACAGCCTGGTTTGGAATTATTACTGACAGGAAGAGCATGGTGAGGATGGCAGAGAAGATTATTGGCAGTTAATTGGCAGAGAACATAGCATATAAACAAAGCTTGAGGAAGATTGCTTGGGATGTTACACATCTACTTCATGACCTGTTTTCCTTGTTACTTTCTGGAAGGAGGATTTGTGGTATTCATCTAAATTCAATCACAGTTTTGTTCCATATAGTATCTATCAACCTTGTGAACTATCAAGTTTCCTCTTTCCACAATGTATTCAAAATGGACAGTGATTAATATATACATACATACATACATACATACATACATACATACATACATACATACATACATACATACATCACTGTCCATTTTGA